TCCTCTGACACTGCCATGCAGCAAATCAAACTAATTATCCCCTTGCTTGTTCTTTGAAAGTGCCATGCACTAAACATTGTTACTATTTATATAAACAATACAATAAGTACACAGGTGTGTTACGTAGTTAGGGAATTCCACAGCACATCCATTTGGCACAGTATGGTAAGTCACCCTCAAACCTCTTCAGATGTCTTGAAATTACAGTTAAATCTCTTCCCCTATATTTGGCACATATTAACATCACTTACATCATAGCATCATCACATCAAAATTAACCAACTAAACCTGTGCAATTCAATTAATGAAAACCTCAGTATCTTCTTACAACCAGTATGCACAATGGAGACTGCTTATGTTCAAATACATAAAAGACTGACTTCCAAAATCTATTATGAAACCAGTTACATGTATGTACAGGTTTATGTCACTGACAAATATCATTTATATGACCATTGAGGTTGGTCAGAGAGTTTGTACTGAATCATACATTATTCATGTATCAAAAGCAGTGTTCTTGTCTCCAATGACAGCCTCATAGTGATTACAAAGTGTCACAGTCTTCATAATTGGTCTTGTACATGGTCGTCAATCAAGCTCATTTCAATAGCTAAAAGCAAATAAAAGTCTTTACAGATTCCCCCCTAATGCCATATACAGTCAAACACACATAAGAGCACTGTTAACACAAAGTCACATTTATAACAAGGATAGTTTTAGGTCCCAAGTCTTGTTTTTTTTTGTTCCATGACTGATAATACAAGGTAACTATTATAACAAGATAATTTGTAAAGTCCAAAGGACCTTGTTATAAGTGTTCCACTGTATATGTTACACACAATCCGGGCTTTTTATATCAGCAACTTACAAATATGCAAATGCAATAATATAATCATTATTTAAAAAAATAAGTCCTGGCCCTATAAACACACATGTACAATTACATATCAAACAGTATAAGTCAAGTTGCTGGTATCCAGTAAATGTACATGTATTAAGGTTTCCCTTTATTGTGCATGGCAATACGATGCCACAAGATCTTTCTCAGTCGGCCTCTGTAAAGATCATCATCCTCGGACAACTACCTGCAAAGTTGAATTCCACACTTACCACTGTCTGTGGTAACCATGGTTACAAATGACTTGTCTACCTGAGCCCTGCTTGAAAACTTGTCTGAGGCTATTACAACATTATGTTCTGCAACTTACAAGGACATTCAGTCACTGAAAGGACTGCATTCCATGGTGTTTTCATGGAATTTATCTGTAGTGATTAATCAAAACAGCACTGAAGGACTAAAACACAGTGGACAGTTCACACAAATGCAAAATGGATTTCTAATCCATTCTCCTTGACAAGGTCACTCAATGATTCACTGATGTGCTTGTTTTCATTTTCTGACAGATGACACGCAATTACAAAGAAAGTCTTCAGGGCCTTGCACTCCTTGAGCTGCTCACACCAAGATGCTGCTGTACCACCCAGGTTGTTACCAGAAAGATCCAATGTAACAAGGTTGGGTAAATCAGTGCATAACTCAGCAACATGCACTATATCCTGTACATTCAATGAGCAGCCTCTCAAGCACAGATACTCAAGGGGCTTGATCACGAAACCCTTTAGTGGTTTGCACCATGTTGCTGCTGTACCACCCAGGTTGTTAGCAGAAAGATCCAATGCAACCATGTTGGGTAGACCACTGAATGCCTCAGCAACATGTACCACGTCCTGTCCATTTAATGAGCACTGACTCAAGTCCAGTTCCTCCAGGGCCTTGCACTGTTTTAAATACTTACACCATGAAGCTGCTGTACCATCCAGGTTACTATCGTGAAGACTTAATCTGACCATGTTGGGTACATCACTGAGTGACTCAGTGACATGTATCATGTCCTGTCCATTCAATGAGCAGTGACTCAAGTTCAGCTTCTGCAGGGCCTTGCACTGCTTTAAATGCCCACACCAGAATGCCGCTGTACCAGCCAGATTGTTACCACCAAGATTCCATTTAACCAAGTTGGGTGAATCACTGAGTGACTCAGCAACATGTGTCACGTCGTCTCCATTCAATGAGCAGTGATCCAATTCCAGCTCCTGCAGGGCCTTACACTGCTTGAACCATAATGCTGCCGTACCACCCAGGTCATTAAAAGAAAGATCCAATGAAACCAAGTTGGGGAAATCACTGAACAGCCTGGCAACGAGTACCGAGTCTTCACCTCTGAGGCAATTCCTTAAGGAAACAGATTTCAGATTTGTCATTGCACTCACGACAAAGGCCAAATCCTCAAGACATCCCATTAGGTAAAATTGGCTGGCACTGAATGACTTTACATTTGCAAGGTAAGCATTACATTTACTGTCCTTTGTTTGCTGGGTGACACGTTTCAGAAAGTATGTGAATGAGACAATGTAATTGGTGTGATGTGGAGCTATGTTGATGCTAGGAGTTACAAATGAATGCACGAGTGCCTCAGGAGGCAAACATTCACACTGACCTTCAAAGTAACAGTGAAGCGCCAAACACCCCACGTCTGTGCGCAGTGATAAATCCTTCAGAAACCTCTCCTGAAATACCTTCATTATCTCCAATGTACATGCCTCATTGTCACCACAACAAAAGCGCAGAAGATACTCAAAACCCAATGGACCCTTTGACATGATTTCGTATAGTGTCTTCTGAAATTTCTCTCTGTTTGTTTCAAACATGTCTTTCAAGAAGGAAGCAGTAGAGAATTCCTGGAATGTCTTATGAATGAACTGCACACTGTTGTGAGGGATTAATCTCCTAACAATTCTCTCTTTTGTCAGAATACCTGCTTTAAGAGCCATGTCAAGCATGCTTGGTTCAAAGTCACTTTCTTTAAAGGATAATGTTTGATGTGGAGAAAGAAGACCACGCAAACCGACCTTGCCGAATGAAATTACCGCTCTGGATATTTCATCTTCTGATACATCTTTTCTTCTGCCAATGTATTCAAATGCTTTGAGGTACAGGCGCGACATTTGTTTCTGGCAGAGTGGAATCGTCACTCCACAGTAAACACATCAAGAGAAGCAGCATTGGACTAGCTGCCAAAGTAGACAGAAGGTTGGAGGTCTTGATCCTTTCTATCAGCCCCTCAGCCTTGTCAGGCTTATCAGAGTAAAATTTCTTCACATACTCCCTGATATTCTCCCCACTGAATCCCATCACCCTGACATGTGCAAAGGGTTCTTCAACCAGTTCCTCTGTTACCAATCTGTGAAAGTGTGAGGGGCGGGTGCTAACAAGTACAGTGCAACCTCTACACAGCTTCCCATTCAGGATTTTCAGTATGGAGCCAAATGAGGATTTATCAAGGGAGGTGGTCATCAATTCATCAAAGCCATCCAACAGCAGCAGGACTTGGTGAGGGTTTGTCTTGATGTACGACCACAGAGCATTTTGCTCCATCTTTGTGTCTTCCGCTAAGAGTTGGTCAAAAACTGCGTCAGTGAGATCTGACCCCTGCTCCAGTGCAAACATTTTCAAGAGGAAGACCAGTTTATACTTCTGTAGTACCTGACCAGAGCCAACTGCCCAATCATATGCAATCTTGTCAAAAAGAGTGGTCTTTCCTGAGCCAGCCAACCCACTTAATACAGCTATAGGGATAGGGTCACCCTCTCTTGTTTGTAGGAGTAAAATGTCCTCATATGATTCCAGTTCACGCTCGGTGAACTCCTCACCAGTTAATAACTTCAACTTTGTGTACATAACTGCGATGTGCTTTTTGTCCCGAAGCCAAGGCTTCATTTTCACAAAGCCACCTCTTTTACTGTAGAACCACTTCATCTCCTTTGCACAATGCTTTACAGCATCTTGAGATGGCACATCGGATGAACAGTGCTCTGGTATAAAACACAGAAAGAGCGACTTTAAAAGCTAGCATGACTAATTATAATTCATTAAGTTATTTTGGGGGAACAGTCCTTGTCAAAATCGTTGCATTAGCTTCATTAAAGAGATGCCAGCTAGTTCAACACGGAAGCTGTGCATACTTTAATTCATGGTTTCGTCAGGATGACTGTGTGAGGGTAGCAGCGAACCACCAGAGCACCAAAGAAAGGTGAGACAGTAACTGGTCACAGCGCCCTCGCTTGGTGGCAGGTTTGAGCTTCACACTTTCCTGTGCCACCGTGCCACCGGCCTGGCCATGCTGCTCAACAATTCAGGTAGTCTCTTGATTTTCACTCTGCAACCATCATTTCATTGGAATTTTGATTGATTATGTAATTTCAGCAGTGTGTTGACATAGAAGGTTTAAAAATTTTTGACTGGCAATTAAAATTTAGTATTGAGCTTCTATACCTGTGTATCATTTGAAAACTGTACTTTCCGGTTACCATAAAGCCAGTCCGAACCCAGGTGCATACTGACGCCACAACTGGGTAAAGAAGGGGCGAGTGTAATAAGGTAAACAAACCTTCCTCTAAACCCTCTGCCTAAAGACAGATACCTACCGAAATTTTATAAAATTTTTTTTATTATTAAATTTTATGAGTACTAAACCATCACCAGAAACAAACACTTTCAGGCCAGTTATAGCAAAACTGTGGCTGAGTATTGTCATTTCAGTTACTCACCACTGAGCTCATCAGCAAGATGAGTGTTCCTAACCTCCCTCAATGCCTTGCTGAGGGCCTCTCTCTGATCGACATTATCAGCTTGTTTGTTTCTCCACGAGACCAGCATGTCAAGGATTTGACCAACTACATCTGTAGAATGGTTGGCTTCAAAGTGGGAGATTTCTGCTGGGCTGAAGCCAAGCCTTGTAGCCAGTTTCCTCCATTCACCTGCATGAATCTGAGCAGATATGCTGTGCAGTGTCATATCATCCAATTTCCCTGTAACGAGAAGTTGAAACTTAACAATGCTCCATGTAATGTGCATAGTGTACCTCATCAACCCAACTCCTCAAATAATCTTCACTACACTAAGGAAGTTTAAAACTCACAGACAAGAGTCATGGTTGTCTGTTTCATGTTCTGATAGGTCCTTATCCACTTGTTGCCGGGATTTCTGGAACTGGACTCCTTGGGTTTATATGCAAAGCCAGGCTGCCCGAAATCGGACAAAAGAGCTGGGCTTTGTAACAAAAGACCGAGCTGCCGGGAATTGCCAACTTTTTTCAGTTGTCAATAGCAGAGGAAATCCATCATTGTTTTGAAAGAATATACCAGTGTTTGTGACATTCCGCATGAGCAGATTACCACCGGGGACAAAAGTGCTCCAGCAGCGTACTGTGCCAGTTTCGGGAACAAAAGAAACTTAGGTAACACCTCACAATCTGGGTTCTTGTTACAAGGTGGCAGGCTTGGCTGAAATACTCAGGCATCCATAGATGCTGTCTGGAAGATTAGAGTAGCCACCAGACAGTCATTCGTGTGGGTGCAAACGGCCAGTAAATGAAGATATGATTTTTTGGAAAAATTTTGAAAACAGAAACTCTTGAAAATCCTCCAGGTATGTGTCATGCAACTTCAAATTATACCCGGCAGCAAGTGGTTCTAATAGTCACAAAAGTTCCACCTTTCTGCTATGTTAAATTTAATGAAGTCATGAGAAGGAATAGACTGAAGCCATTTTTGATCATATTCCCTGAATTTATCTTTATCAGCGTAATCTGTCTAATGGGTTGTGCCAGACTACTCTGGGTCCCAGACCTCACTTTCATATATTACAATGGTGCTTCTGACATGTAAATAAAATCTGTAACGAACAATTCATTGTTTCATTATAATTCTGGGGTTCCCAACGTAAAGTTAACCTTGACGTCAATTAAGTATGGCTGATTCGTGAATAAAGTCAATTATGAATCATATTACACCATTTGTTTCTCACCTGTTGTCTGGTCCTGGTTG